GCTGGCCGGCGGCGCGGAGGGAGGCCCGGCCGCCCCCTGGCGGGCTCCGAAGGCTCCTCCGTGGCTTGACGGCGGCCGAGGCCCGGCAGCCGGCTCGGCCTGGGGTCGGGGGTGCGAGGTGCTTGGCCTCGCCGCCCGGCCTGAACCTGCTGGCCCGGGAACCAGCCTCCGCCGCTCGGCCCCGAGGGACTTGGACACCTGGTGGCCTCGCCTTTGGTCTCCAGAAGCCCTTCGTAGACGAAGAAGGGAGCGGCAGGACGACTCTGAACTTAACGGTGCGCAGAGAAAGCTCGACCGGTCTTCAACTTTTTGAGGACCCTCCACGCTGTTTTCCATAGAGCCTGTTCCACTTTACAGCCCCACTAACGGTGTGCGGGGTCCCCTTCCCCCACACTCTGGCCGAGATTTGTCCGCACTTGTCCTTTTGATGATACCATCCTAACAGGTGTTATCTCCTGGTTTTCATTTGCATTTCCCTGATGATTAGTGATACTAGGTACCTTTTCTTGTTGGCCATTCCTATGTCCTCTTTAGAAAAATGTCCGTTCAGAGCCTTTGCCAACTTCTCAATAGGGCATTTTGGAGTTTGGTTTGTTTTATGCTATTGATATGTGTGAACTACTTATATACAGGGAGTCCCTAAAGTCGCCTCACACAGGGAAAATGGAAAATTGTAGTTACAAAACGTTATAAAAATTTACGAAATATTTACAAAATATTCTCTATGCGTTAGACACATAAGGAATATTTTCTAAAAATATGTCAAAATTTGTAATTAATATTTTGTAAATAAAGGTACACTTAGCTACAATTAACCGTTTTCCCTATGGCGACTTTGGGACACCCTGTATGTTGGATATTAATCCCTTATCAGATAGATGGTTCACATATATTTTTCCCCAGTCTGTAGGTTGCTTTTTCATTTTGTTGATTGTTTCCTTTGTTGTGCAGGAGCTTTTTAGTTTGATGAAATTCCATTTGTTTTTGATCCATTGCCTGGGTTTTTGGTGTGGCAATCAAAAAATCATTGCTAAGGCCAGTATCAAGATATTATCCAACTATTCCTATTCTGTGTATAGACACAAAGTGAACTCAGGTGCTCATAGAAATATCTGCATTCTAAAGTTAATTGCATGATAATTCACAAAAGCTAAGATATGGAAACAATCAAAGTATCTGTAGAAGAACAGGCAAAGAAATTGTCTCTCTCACACATGTATATTATTCAGCCGTAAAATCGAGATCCTGCCATTTGTAATATGGATGAACTCGGAGGACAGTGAAACAAGACAAATACAGAAAGACAAATACCGAATGTCTTATATGTGGAATTTCAAAAAGAATTAAAAAATAAAAATCCAAAAACATAGAAACAGTGGTTGTTGAGGACAGGAAAGAAATGGGGAGATGTAGGTCAAAGGATATAAAGTTGCAGTTACATAGGCTGAATAAATCTAGAATCAAATGTACAATATGAGGGTTATAGTTCATATTGCATTGTGAACTAGAAATTTGCTAAGAGTAGATTTTAGGTTTATCCATTTAGAAGAATGGATAACTGTGAGATGATGGATATGTTGATTTGGTTCACTCTAGAAACTATTTCACTATGTTTAACAAAATAATGCCAAACAAGTGGTGCCCCAGCCAGCTTAGCTGAGTGGGGCTGGAGGACCTGCCACCTCTGTCTTGGCGGTGTTGGTGGTGGCAGCCAGGAGAGGAACCAGCAGGCTGGAGCAGGCTGGAGCATAGGCAAGCAGGGGAGCTTCCCTCCCCCACGGAGGCTCCAGTAGCAAAGGAACCCCTCACAAGCAGGGGAAGATACTAGCGATTCCTCCAGTGCATCCCTGATTGGTCCATTTTCAAAACCTGCTCCTGATTGGTCTGTTTTTAGGACTCAAAAGCTCACTGGACAACTGCCCCTATATAAGCCCCTAAGCAGAGAGCCCAAAAGCAGACCTCCAAGGGTGAGAGAGCGGAAAAGCAAGAGCTGTTAAGGCTTACATCCTGCTCTGCAAGAAGATTTGGCTCTTTGTAAGAGCTGTAACACTTATACCCTGCTCTACAAGGAGGTTTGGTTCTTTGTAAGAGCTGTAGCACTTGTATCCTGCCCTGCAAGGAGGTTTAGCTCTTTGTAAGAACTGTGACACTTGTATAAAACCTATTTTACTACTGATCCTGCCCTGCAAGGTTTGGCTCTTTGTGAGAGCTATAACACTTGTTGAATAAAACCTAACCTACTGTTGATCCTGTGGTCTGTCGATTCATTCATCGAATTCTTGAGACCAACAGCCTAGAAATCCAGTATCAAAGTCCAGTATCGAAAACATTGTGTTGTATACCTTAAATATGTACAACAAAAATAAATGTATTACTTTATATATATATAAAGTTGATAATGCTTTAGGATTTATTTATTTGAGATAAGAATCTCACCCCATTGCCCCAGGGAAAAGTAAAGTCATGTTGTCACAGCTCACTGCGGTCTCAAACTCCTGGGCTCAAAGTATCCTCCTGCCTTAGTCTCCCAGTAGCTGGAACAGGTGTGCACCAACACGCTTGACTAATTGATTTCCATTTTTGGTATGGGGAGGGGTTCACTCTTTCTCAGGCTTTTCTGGAACTCCTGAACTCAAGAGAGTCTCCTGCCTTGGCCTCCCAAAGGGCTAGGATTATAGATGTGAGCCCCCACCCTGGTCTGCCTTAGTATTTAAACGAAGGTGTAAGAAAGAAGACACAGGGCCTCTAAAGTCATTTTATTTACTTCCTTAACAAGAAAGCCTGTTTAAACCTTCAGCCAGTAGTGTTTGGAATAGATATAAAGGCTCTAAGATAAATCCTAGGAAACTGATTGAAAAGTACTAGTATTGGGGGCTTTTATTTTAAAGAGGAAACATAGGAAAGCTTCTTGCTTTCTATGTTTATTTATAAAACTGAAGGATGCAGCCTGTTGCCTTAATATTTAGAAGCACCTGGAGCTGTTAGCCTCTGGTAGCTTCCTTAAATAAACTACTGTAGCTGCTTGCTTTGCTACCCTCACTCAAACTGACAATCATTGAAAAGTGTTTTTTGGAGGTGGAGGTGTTTTAAAATTTAGAAGTCAAGGTGGGAGTAAAACCTTTCCTAGAATAGCTATTGAATTATCATGGCGGTGCCTCTGAGGAAGTATGGCCAACCAGCATGTGCCTTTTATGTTCACCCAATTAGTGAGCCCATCCAAACCCAGCTTGGGGAAAGAGGAACTCCTCTAATTCTTGCTGTAAGTGCAGCATTTTGTTCTACAGGTGTATAACACTATAGATTTTTATCTGTCCCTTCTCCAGTCCTCCTGGATTTCTACTGACTTGTGGAATTGTGGCACTAAAAAGCATACACTGTTAGTGATATAAAAATAGAAATGGTCACTGGAAGAGGCAGAATAAAGGGCTGGATTAATGGTTCTCACACTAAAAGCAGGATAATGGTTTAAATTAATGGTTACAAACTTGAGTGTTGAGGTTTGTTAAAATAGCTTACAAAGCCAGAACCTGATTCAGATAAGGGGAAAAGCAAATAATTTGTATATCTAACAAGTTCCTAGGTGATGCTGACGCTGTGAGTCTAGGATAGAAGCACAGGGCTTTGGGTCAGAGCTCACTTCCTGAACTTAAAAGTTCACATGCATACAGTATGCCACATTTTCTTATACATTCAGCCTTCAAAGATGGGTAGGTTGTTTCCACACTTTGGCTTTTGTGTGTATAATCAAAATTGGGCGCTGATACATTTTTGAAATTCTGATTTCAATTATTCTGGATAGATACCCCCAAAGTGGAATCACTGCATCATGACTAGTTCTTTCTTTTCTTTCATTCTCTCTTTCCTTCTTTGACAGAGTCTTACTCTGTTGCCCTGGGTAGAGTGCTGTGGCATCATAGTTGACAGCAACCTCCAACTCTTGGGCTCAAGTGATCCTCTTGTCTCAGTTCTTCCATTTTTAGTAGAGATGGGGGGTCTCACTTTTCCTAAGGCTGGTCTCAAACTCATGAGCTCAAGCAACCCACCTGCCTTGGCAGAGGGCTAGGATTACAGGCATGAGCCACCATGCCTGGTCGGTAGTACTATTTTTAATCTTTTTTTTTTTTTTTAGAGATAGAGTCTCACTTTGTCACACTGGGTAGAGTTCTGTAGCATCACAGCTCACAGCAACCTCCAGCTCTTGGGCTTAGGAGATTCTCTTGCTACAACCTCCGGAGTAGGTGGGACTACAGGCACCCACCAAAATGCCCGGCTATTTTTTGTTGCAGTTTGGTCGGGGCTGGGTTTGGACCTACCACCCTCGGTATACGGGCAGGCACCCTACTCGCGGAGCCACAAGTGCCGCCCTATTTTGAGGAAGCTCTATACTATTTTCTATGTGGCTGCACCATTCTGTACAAGAGTTCAGTTTCTCTACATAAGACTTGCTTTCTGCTTGAGAGACCTGGAGAATCATGAGAATGGAATGTGAGTTGTGTACATGCAGGAGATCAGAGAACTGGTCTCCAAGGGAGAATGTTTGTGTGAGGTGTGGCAGTACCAAGCCTAATGGTTACGGTAAAGATTCTCTAGATTCCAAAGGTCTCTGCATGCTGGATGCAGAGGTC